AATAAATTTTTTTTCTTATTAAATCATTTATTATTAGAATTATTTAATAAGTTTTTTTTCTTTAATTTATACAATATTAAAATTATTTAATACATTTTTTATATTTGTATTTTTTATTATATCAATTATAAAATATATTCACGCTGGAATTAAATACGATTTTTTATTGAATGCTAAGCAATTTTGTAAAAAATAAATAGTTTTTTAAGCTGAAGCTAAGCTTTGAAAGCTGAAGCAAAGCCCAGCTCAAGCTGTTAGGTTTGCAGCGTTGTTTCTCATTTCTTTTTTGACGCCAGCCCAGAAAGACGCATCGAATGACGGACAGTTCGTGCGGAAGGTTCGAGGCATTAATTTCAGCAAAATTTTGGTGCAAGTAAGAAAACGTGAGCATACAAGAGATCATCTCCGGTGCCCATTGGGAATGCTATTGTCTAAAAAATGAACCGGTTTCAGGCTAAAATTTAAGTGAAATTTAAGTGTATTTTAAGTGCCTGAAGAATGCTGCTTACAATTATGTGCTAAAAAGTATAAATTAAAAAAGAAAAATTGAAATTAAAAAAATTTTATTTTTTTTAATTATTTAATAAGATCAAAACAAAATTAAAAACAAAAAAAAAAATAAACAAAAAATCAGTGCATAAAATTTTTGTTTAAAAAAATTAATTTAATTTCTGAATATACATACAAACATATATCGAATTAAATAACAACGAAGGCAAAAATATGGATAACCCACAATTCGTTATAGACGATATAGCGGTAAGAATGAATCTATAAAAAATTCATAAGTGAATAAGTTAATAATAATAAATTTAAAATTTAATGTGCTCAACATTTAATTCGAAACTTAAAACTTTAATTTTTTTGCTTAATTAAATTTATAAAAATTTATTGAACAAGTTTTTTTTTTAATACATTGTGTTGTCGCCCCTTATTATTATTGTTATTAACTCATAATATGTTTTAGTCAAAATACTTGTAAATGAAATAAAAGGTGAGCAACTTAACAACTTTAAGTACACGGAGCATCATATATACATAGATATATGAAAAATATAATTTATTTTTATTTTATTTTATTTTTTTACAAAATACTTAAAATTTATGACTATAATTTTGTTTTGTTGTATGGAGTATTTAAGATATGATTGCGCAAACAGCTTAACTCTTTCAACTCCATGAATACCTTTAACACATATGTAAGTGCGTAGATATGTACATGTGGATGTATATATCTTTCTTTTGTGTTTTACATTATACAATCTCCGAAAAGTATTATAATTAATTAAAAAACTTCAAAAGAAAAAAATTAAAAATGACCATCTTATATCTGTTGAAAAATATTTACATTTCATTCCATTCCAATGGTAGATAAAAAACTATCTTCCACTAATGAGAGATGCTCGTGTACAGGCTACGATATATGAATGAGTAAGTTTTGCGGTTGAACTAATAACGCGGAAAAAGCTGGTATTGAACTCATGCGGTATACGTTTATTGTTTTCGAAATTGCTTGAAATCGTGAAAATCTTAATACAAACATTATTTTTTTTTTTGTTATTCTCTAGTTTTCATTGTATTTAGACAATAACTAAAACAAACTACAAGTTTTGGCAATTATTGCGAAAAAAAAACATATACCTAATGACTTTGTGGTTATTGTTAACAACAGCTTCAATAATGTTCGATAATAAATCACATAACGTACAAAGCATATGAAAATAAATCAATTCTTTTAGTCAATTGAACACATACAATATAAATATATTGCATATAGTATAAATATTCATGTAGAATGTCATGTATTCGTTCAGTTAAGACGCCCACAGCCTTTGTGATCTTGTGAACCTTTACTCGTCGATTATTAAGCACTACAACATAGATTTTAGTAGAGATGCGCACAGCATCAGTAATCTCGCAAAACCTTACTCATTGATCATCTAATACTATACTATAGATTTTGTTCACGATTTTTATTGACCTCTTTTTATTGTTATAAACGTTCGATGTCGCTTTGGCTAGCTTTTTTTTCTGCGCTATTTCTCGAACAGTTGTGTTCCTCTAATTCACTGAAGACATATTGCATATCATATACTATATATAGCACAAATATACATGTTAAATGTAGTGTATCCATACAGTTAATATTACCACCTCAGTAATATCGGGAAGCCTTATTCACCGATATTTTTACACTGTACAATGCATAACATAGATTTTAGTAGAGATGCGCACAGCATCAGTAATCTCGCAAAACCTTACTCATTGATCGCCTAATACTATACTGTTGATTTTGTTTACGATTTGTGACGTGACGACCTCTTTTGATTGTTATAAAAGCTTGAGCTGATCTCTTTTTGTCTTATTTTTCAGACAAGTGTTTTATTTGAACTCAATAAACACATATTGCATATACAATACAATATATAATACAAATATTCTAATTAAATGCAATATCAGTTAATATTACCGCCTCAGTAATCTCGGGAAGCCGCACTCAACGATCTCTTCGCAAAGTACAATGTATTTTATTAACGGTTTCCGACATGACAATCTTGCGCTGGTACAAGCTTGCATTTATAGTGCAGAGGTCCTATAGTATTTATAAGTCCTTGCTGAATTTCAAAGATGACTTTTTATTGTCATAAATAAAGCTTGATAAACACACGTAATTCACTTTTCTCTATTTTCACTTTCAATACCTGTCAAACACAAAATGGATGAGACAGCTTGCTTAAAATATTAAATCTGTTAGTAATCTACTAATAAGTATTAGTTAATAAAATTTGTGTTACATTTAAAGCTATTATCCGGAAGGTTCTAAAAATCACTGAATTACTTAATTACCGACGTTTTTTGAGTAACAGTGGCTTTCTTCTTTCTTTGCTTTTTCCTAGCATTATCCTACTTGAAGTCGGGTCTACTTATTCGGTATCTCTAGACCACATGGTACCAGGGTCATCTCTTTGTTTACACTTCCGTATTGCATGTCACTCTTAACGGTTTTTCCAAATTTTTTAATGACTTAATTAAACTTTTTTTTTTCTATTTGCAATATTCAACATTCCGCTTGGTCCTCTAATTGTGTCATTAGCACAATTGTGTCATTAGCACGCATACGACTTTCTTATATCTTATAGGTGACCACTAACTGAAATGAAATTATTTTTTACCTTATCTGTTACTGCCATTGCACTGAGACCTTTTTGTATACACATTCCTGCCAGGCCTGAACGTAGACATAACAGATGTTCTTGTGTATTTTCTTCGAAAATTGATAGACACTAAATCGAGTCTAGCTCCATGCCGTCCTAATGCTCTCTAAAACCAGATATTAACCTAGATACCTCTGATTTACTTCTGTGTATTAAATCAGAGGTTCTGCATTTGGAATAGACTGGCCATGTATCACTTGACCTGACTGCTGAAGTAGTATGGGCCCACTCACTATTAGCCAGTCGAAGAAAATGATCATAAATCAACCTCTGTATGTAGCTGATAGGGGAAGGCATAGAAATAGGGGTATCCTTAGTAAAGGTGCCGACTCTAGCAAACTCATCTACACACTCATTTCCTACTATATTAGAATGCAAGGGAACCCAAATTAGAGTTAATTATACTATAGTGTAGTGACATTTTACACTATTGTATGTATACATAAAACTAATTTTTTTTTTTTATTTATATTGTAATACAATTTCGTTGATGCCGGAATTGACATTGAAAACATTGAAAAACCTTATATAAAGAAGAGTCTGAAAGACTAATATACCCAACTGATTTATGCTTACAAATTCTTATTTTGAATTATTGCATTCAATATACAATATATTGTATTAACTTAATATAAGTATTTAAACGTGTTTAATAATATAAAATCAAAAAAAATGCTAGTACATATCAATAATTTTAGAGCGATTAGCTTAGATTTGGATGTAGTGGCCATGTGCTACAGTAATTATTTTAGAAAGGAATTTTTATCATATGTTTATATACATATATGTACAACATTCTGTTACTCAGAACCTGCATATATTTCGAATGGAATACGCACACAATTTTCTAATGAATTATAATTTTTAAAAATTAACTCTAAAAAATGTGTGCAAGGCCTATTTAAGCTTCAGCAAATCTAAAGCCATTTAGTTTATTTACTTTATGTTTTTTTTTATATCCAATATATAAAATTCATTCAACTGAAAAAATTTTGGTAATATAAAAACTATAAGCAATTAACATGTTTTTTCACTGAAACCACCAATTTTTCACTTTAACGATTGAAAAAAAAAAGTCGTTTGTTTTTTATTCGATGGGAAACTTTTGTAGCTGCCCTCGTTTGCTTGCATGGTGCACTGTGCATTATTATTATAATTAAATCTGGTGCTGCACTGATGTGACCCTTTGATAATGCAGCTTGCAACTGTGTAAAGTTCATCGAAGTTTGGAATCTGGTTGCAAATATATGTGTAAAAATTATCATAAAATATATATGAATTTTTTTATTTGTTAATATTATTAAGCACATTATATTGTACATTAAAAATTCAAATGACTTTGAAAACAAGTTATATTAATTTTGTTATAATAAAAGCTTAAAATTTCATATTAAAATTGCTTCCACTTTTTGCATAGTAAGTGTCAAGTTCACTACAACAAAAAAATAATATAAAAATTCAAATAATAAACTAAAATGTGTTTCATTTTAAACAATCAAGTATTTTTATAAATATTATAATATATATTTAAATGTTTATATACGTGTACATATACATGGATATATATGTGTCATATTCACATGTCCATAAATATAAACAAATATAAGAATGCATACTCAAATGTCTACACGTGTACGAGTATATTTATATAAACACATATTTTATAGCTTATATTTATCGTAGTTTAGATTCAAGTATTTAATTTAATTGATTAATTTCAATCAATTATCACTTATCATCAAGAATAATTTTAAGTAATGCCTGAGGGTTGCAATAATACGAGTCAATACACTTATTGAAAGTAATATTGTTAATTTAATCTCTCCGCAACGTTTTAAAATATCAAAATTCACTGGAAACTTGAGTTTAATTCTAAGAAAGTCTTTAAACTAAAAACAAAATAATAAGTACAATAAATACTTATTAGTAATGTTATAAATCCCAAAAAAGCAATTAATGAAAAAGATACGAGCCTATGTGTAAAGAACAAATATTTAAAAATTAATTTTAGCCAAAAAAAAAAAAATTAATTTGAATACTAACTCTGAGCTGAGCTCAAGAAATTATTTCAAATAATTAAATATAAAAAAATTTAATTAATTAAAAATAATAAAAAATTTTGTTGTCGCAATTCACTGCTGAACGAATCCCCAAAATTAATTGCCGTAAAAGTGACACAAATTATTTCTTTGTTATGAAGTTTGTATTTTATAATACTAGGTGGATTGATAAATAAGAAGGAATAAAAACGCATTTTTTTTTTTTTGAAAAATTATATTTTATGCTTTAAATTATAGTCCCTTTTTAGAAGGACCCACCGATATCAACGATCTTTCAACATTTTTAAATAATACGATTTATCAAATCCTGCACAATATTCCTCAGTTTCCCATTCCACTTCATCATTTGATGCAAATCTCTTTCCCTTGAGTAATTTTTTCACGTTTGGAAAAAAGTGATTGTCACTTAGAACCAAATCTGTAGATTATAATGGGTAAGGTAACAATTTGTTCATTTAATTTTGCCATGATTTTCATTAACTTC